GCAGTGCATAGGTCTGTGCCTGGGATCTGAACCTACGAACCCCAGGCCGCCAAAGCAGAGTGCGCAAACTTAGCCACTATACCACCAGGCCAGCCCCGAGAGTGTTTTTTTGCTCTTAGTTTTTTTAAAGGCAGATTGAGTGTTACTTCCAAATCAGTTTCCATCACAGAATTCATGGTTTTCAGAACTAGATGAATGATATTTTCTATTATTTGAATTACAGTATATTACCTAACTATCGAAGACTGTGTTAAAAATGCAAATAAATGAAGTGTTATTTCATTAATATATTTGAACATTTTTATTTTAGGACCATCAACCTAGAAGAAGATTACGTAACAGAGCTCAGTCTTATGATATTCAAGCATGGAAGAAACAATGTCAAGAACTGTTAAATCTCATCTTTCAGTGTGAAGATTCTGAGCCTTTTCGCCAGCCGGTAGATCTCCTTGAATATCCAGTAAGTATTTTTGAAACTATTTTCTTAACCTGTCAGTTTGCTGTATATCTTATACAAGGCAGTTTGCTGTTTAAGTTGTTATTTTTTGTGATTATAGTTTATTTCTTCATTATTTTACACATGTTGTCATTATCCATTTGTTATATAGAGCATCTAAGTTGAATGGTATGGTAAAATAGAAAGAACCCAGAACTAAGACTCTGTACAATTGGGTTATGGTTCCAGCTCTGCCTCTTACCAGTTGTACAACATTGAGCAAGTCATTTAGTTTTCTCATCTGAATATTTTTTTACTATTTCCCCACACTAATTCCATGACTTTATTATGGTGATTATTTAGGAAACGAGAATAATACCTACCTAACCGTCCTTACAGGGTTACAGCAATGGAACAAGAGTACATTAAAATAGTTTTTAAATTGAAGCACTATGTACAAATGTAAGGTGGCATTAGTATATATGTTTAGGTTATGCTAATTTATGATCTTGATGGAATTCATGGTAAAAAGGTTGAGTAAACATGATCCAAGTATTTATTTTGGCATGCACACTTAGCAATCTAAATTTAGCTTAAAATAATGTTTTTATTCCTTTATTCAGTTATTAAATGTTGTATAATTCAGATAACCTTTATGTTTTCAAATGAAATATTTTATAAGAGATCATGACCTGGATGTAGTATCATGTGACTTCATTATCTGCTTTTTACATATGTATGCTATACTTGCAATGATGAAAATAGAGAAATTTCATCAATAGATAAATATCATAAAATGCCTTTTTTTGTCATTTAAAAATCAAAAACATGGAGTCTTAAATGTAGAAGATAAATCTTTAATTCCAGCAATGTGATAAACTGAGCCAATTTGAATCCTGCCCTCCAAAAAACTCTTAGAAGAACTGAGCTCATGCTACCTGCTCTGGTTTTCAGTTCTTTTTGTTTTTGGAACCTGTGGATTTCCCTTTGTTTCTTACAAGCCCAACTATGTTTTAGAAAGTAAGTTATAATTTTTCCAGTGCTTGCAGGTGTTTGTATTCTGGACTTTGCCCCAGAAAAAAAGAGAGAGAAATAAGCTTTAATGTCTAGATTGTAGAGGCACAAGTATTAACACCATGCAGAGACAGGTGGAAGCCATGGGAGCTATGATGAGGAAGGAAATTGGAACCGACACTCCATTAGGACTGTTGAAAGACTTTACCCTCAAATGAGGAGAATAGAAGGATTCCTTCTACAAGGAAGAATGTGTCTGTCTGGCTCTCGGGTGTCGCGGAGAGAAATCTCCCTATGCTTGTGCTATGCATGGATTTGGAGTCCAGCTTTACACTACCTTTTTGGTGTAGAAATTCATCAGGAGAAATGAAAAAACAAACCAGTCCCTACTAAAGATGAACGAATGATAAAAAGAAATCACAAACCAAATGAGGGAGTGATCCATCTTATATGTGACAACAGAAACAACAAATGGAAATATTAGCACACTCTCCCCAAAAACTTGAGATAATAGATTATTCTGAAATATTATACTTCATCAAATCTCAAACACCATTCATTATTTTGTGTACCACCAAGATAGGAAAAAAATTGCCAGTTAAACTTTGATTTGTCATTTTTATTTAAGAGAGAAATGGAGGGGTGAGAAGCATAAGGGGGAAAAAAACCTAATTTGAGGAGGGAAGGGAGTGGGGCAGGCATTTTTAAATAAACTAAACAGAACTTCTGGAAATGAAATGTAAAGTTGTTGAGATTAAACTCTCTGAAAGAGAGATTAGGAGATATGGTGGATAGGATGAAGGATGAGAAGGTCCAAAATGTTCAGTAGGAGAGAGGCAGTATCTGAGGAGTTAATGGCTGAGAATTTTCTAGGGTTGATAAACATTTGACAAAGCATGACTCCTGAGCAGGATATATAAGTAAAAAAATCTTTACCTGGGGCTGTCCTGGTGGCATAGCGATTAAGTGCGCATGCTCCACTTTGGTGACCCCGGGTTCACAGGTTCGGATCCCGGGTGTAGACAGACACACCGCTTGTCAAGCCATGCTGTGGCGGCATCCCATATAAAGTAGTGGAAGACGGGCACGGATGTTAGCCCAGGGCCAATCTTCCTCACAAAAAAAAAAAAAAAATCTTTACCTGGAATAATAGTGAAAAATCAAAACTCTTAAGGACAAAAGAAAAATGTTAAGTCAACTGTACAGAAAATATGGAAGAGACGCAAGACTGTGATCCAACTGACTCATTTTACTGATGTTGAACTGAGTCTCGGGTTAAGTATCTTTCCAAGATATGTAACTATTTATTGACAAAGCGAGGACAAGAGCCTAGAGCTATATGTAATATTCTTAGGGAATAAGCAGTATATAAGAATGCAGTCTCTCTTATGTATTCAAAATAATGAGAACAATAGTATTTAGAACCTCTCCTTCCACCAGCTAAAATTGTTAGCAGACAAAAATAGCAGAAAAAAGTAAAAAACAACAGAACAAACAGAAAACATCATAAAGTGTTTTCCAGCCACAGTGGAATCAGACTAGAAATCAGTAACAGAAAAGTAACAGGAAAATCTCCAAACACTTGATAATTGAACAGTACACTTCTAAATAATCCTTGAATCAAAGAAGTTTTATGGGAAATAAAAAAAATACATTGAACTCAATGAAAATGAAGACAGCATATCAAAATTGGTGGAATGCAGCTAAAGCAATGCAGGGAAATTATATCAGAAGAGGAGAAGTCTCAAATCAGTAATCCAAGCTCTCTCCTCAAGAACCTAGAAAAAGAAGACCAAAATAAACCAAAGGTGAGCAGGAGAAAGGAAATAATAAAGAGCAGAAATCAATGAAACTGAAAACAGAAAAATAATAGAGAAAATCCGTAAAACCAAAAGCTGGTTCTTTGAAAAAGCCAATGAAATTGACAAACCTCTGTTAAGATTTACAAAGCTAAAAAGAGAAAAGACACAAATTGCAAGTATCAGGAATGCAATAGGGGATATCACTACAGACCCTGCAGATATCAAAAGGATCACAAAGGAATACTACAAACTACTCTAGACATATAAATTTGACATCTTAGACGAAATGACCATTTCTAAAGTACAAACTATCACAACTCTCCCAGTATGAAATAGATCATTTGAATAGCCCTACAACTAGTAAGGAAATTTAATTTGTAGTTAAAAGCTTACAAAAAAGAAATCTCTAAGCCTAGATGTCATCACGGGAGAATTCTACCAGATGTTTAAAGAATTAACACAATTTCTACATAATCTCTTCACAAAATAGAGAACACTTCTCCACTCATTTTATAAAGCCAGTTATCAAAAATAGTACAAAAGAGGAAAGTGCAAAAATTCTTAATAAAATGCCAGCAAATAGAATTCAGCAATATATAAAAATGATTTTCTACCAAGGCAAAGTAGAGTTTTTCCCCAGAAATAAAAGGCTGGTTCAGTATTCAAAAATTAATCAATGTAATTCATCATATTAAAGGAGAAAATCACATGATCATATCAATGCAGAAAGAGCATTTGACAAAATTCAGTACGCTTTTGTTCTAAAAGCCTACATGTTGGATATGATGTGGTATGGTAAAGTCAGTGTGGCCACAGGAGGAAATGAGTACGAGGCTTGGAAGAAAGGAGTTTATTAGAGGAGGTCACCAAATGCCACTTAGGGGATGCACCAGGTTTTGGTCAGGTGGCAGAAGGCAGGAGCAACGGAAAGCTTAGGCCAGAGCCTTTATTGGGGTTTCCATGAGAAAGGCAGGACAGGGTAGGGTAAACAGTTTAGGATTGGCTAGTTTGAATAATTCCAGTGGGCATTAGGGCAGAGGAGTGCTCTCTAGTTGTCTGGTATCTGACCCTGGGATGATTCAGGGCAGAGGAAATATTGGCTTGGTGTGTGAGGGTTAGATAAGGAGGTGATTGGTTTGCATATGAAAGACATGTTCAGTGCAGCTCTTTGCTGTCTGTAAGAATTGGCTAGCCCTGGGAAGGACAGTATCTCCTCAGGTCTATAAGGCCTCCAAAATGCCAGAGCATCAACAATACAGAAAATAAGAAAATAAAGTTAATATAATTGGTCCTGTGATGAATGGATGCCAAACAGACAAATAATCTAAGAAAACAGAACATCATTAATGATAAAAACTCTTAAGGAAACTAGGAATAAAGGGGAACTTCCATAAGTTGATAAAGAACATCTATTAGAAAACCTACAACTGTTTCATGCTCAATCATGAGAAACCAAATTCTTTCCCCCTAAGGTTGGGAATGAGGCAAGGATGTCCATTCTTACCGCTGTTCTTCACCATAGTTAGTACTCAAAATTCTAGCCAATGCAGTAAGCCTAGAAAAGGAAATAAAAGGCATACAGATGGTTAAGGAAGAAATAAGAAATAAAACTGTCCCTATTTGTAGAAGGCAATAATCCTGTTTGCTTTATGGTCAAACATTTGATCATAATTTAAACTCGGTGCAAAATCAAGTTATATTTTGAAAAGTATAGTTACATACTCTGGGGCTGTGGAAAAGGTATAATACTCTGTATTCCTACTAAAAGATACCATATTTGGATAATTTCTTATTGTTTTGTTGTTTTTTTCTGCTTTCACTTGTCTGTTTATATTGCTTCTAATCTTTTGCCTTATTCTATACCCAATTGATAGATGGAGACTTGATTCCACTTCTCCTCTGTGGAATGAAGCGCATAGGCTTTGTGACAACTATTTACATTCATAATTCTTGCTTACTGCCAAGTTCCCAATTGTAGTACTGAAGTTGAGGTTATTAGAACTCAGGCCTCCACACATACGGGATGTTCACATATTTCCATTGTTTGTATCTCCTTATTTTAAAGTTACAGTTATGTTTCAGCCTTTAGAGATTAAAGATTGTACGAAGTTATAGGGTTTTTGCATCAGATTTATGTCTGTAGTTGTAGAGCTGAGTTTTTTCAATCTCTTGTTTCAAACACAACTCCACCCTTTTTCCTCTTCCCCAAGGAAAGAAACCATAACTTATAGGTTCTTGAATAGAGAAATCCTGTGATGATGGCAATAAAAGAGAGAGGGCATGAAAAAGATAAAAATTATTAGAAAAAAGGAGCCTAGATGATGAAAAGAAGGAATGTTTATTAATGGTTCTAGGACTTGTACTCATCACAGAAATTGTATGTGAATCCCTATGCTGAGAGGTAATGCTTCTTGGTAGTAATGATAATAATAATACCACCTGTTTTCCCTCTCTTAGGACTACAGAGACATCATTGACACTCCAATGGATTTTGCTACCGTCAGAGAAACCTTAGAGGCTGGGAATTATGAGTCACCAATGGAGTTGTGTAAAGATGTCAGGCTTATTTTTAGTAATTCCAAAGCATATACACCAAGCAAAAGATCAAGGGTATATAATTAAATTTTCTTTTACGTTTAAATTAAATGAAATCAGTAGGAAAGTATGTTAAGTAACTAAGTGTTGCTTTTATTTAAAATTTAGAGCAAAATTGACTTCCTATTATGTTCTTAATGGTATCCTAGTGGAAAAAAGAATTCACATCTTTCTACTTTGTTCCTTCTGTGAAATAGGACTGATGTCACCAATGTTTAGGAATGGTTACTTTTCTTGGAAAAAAAAGTGATTTAATAGATACCACATGTGTATTGTCCTGGTACATATTAGGGCTATGTGGACCTAACTTTTCCAGTTATTTTCCACATTAATGGAAAGGAGCATTTTTGTGAATGATTTATAAAAATGATTAAAGCTATAAATACCTCTCTTCGGCCAGACAAGACATCACAAAAGCATGATATATGGAAATGAAATGAGAAAGAATAGATGCTAGTTCTAGGTAGCAATGGAAAACAGGTTCAGACCCTCAGGGATGGTTTCAGTATGGTAGAGTTTACAGGAATTTTGTCTATATGAGCCCATCTGCATTCATAGTAGGGCGCCCTTCTTTAAGACTCTCAAAGCATGGACGATTTCTAATCTAAATTAAGAAATAATTTAATTGTAAAAATGCTTCAGTTTTACTCTTGCTCAAAAGAGATTGGGAAAAAGTAATATTTAAATTCCAAAAGCTTTTTGCTAGAAAAATATTTAAATTATATGTTAATATTTACTGAACAGGCATTTTCCTTTGAGGAATGTTTGAACGGTTTTTTTTCCTCTTACCATAGATTTACAGCATGAGTTTGCGCCTGTCTGCTTTCTTTGAAGAGCACATTAGTTCAGTTTTATCAGATTATAAATCTGCTCTTCGTTTTCATAAAAGAAATACAATAACCAAAAGAAGGAAGAAAAGAAACAGAAGCAGCTCTGTTTCCAGTAGCGCTGCATCAAGGTATTTGATTTCTTTAAATAGCATTAACCGATCTATAACTTTGTCATCTAAATGATAGAACTTGGTGTTTTTTAATACTTCCTTTACTATTCCCTATATTGCAGAATGATATATTTGACATGCAAGTTCCTATGATGTGGAGGATTTTTAATCTTTTAACTAAAGCTATACTAGTGTAAGTGCTTAAATTCAAACTGCTAAATCTATACAGTAAAACAGCATTTTTAGGCTAGTGATGGCATCATGCTTTCTGTCATATAACTATAGCATTTACGGCGATCCTTCACTAAATTTTCACTTTTCAAAGGCTCACAACCATATGAAATCCACTACAAATCTCATATTTTAACATATTTCATAATAGTACAAATATTGAATTCAACAGTATTATAAAACTATATTTTATTCGCCCACATAGAGCTATAACAATGACTAATGACACTATTTTATTTACAGCCCTGAAAGGAAAAAAAGGATCTTAAAACCCCAGCTAAAGTCAGATGTCTCTACCTCTCCATTCTCTACACCTACACGATCAATACCACCACGGCACAATGCTGCTCAAATAAATGGTAAAACAGAATCCAGTTCTGTGGTTCGAACTAGAAGCAACCGAGTGGTTGTAGATCCAGTGACCACTGAGCAACCATCTACTTCTTCAGCAGCAAAGACATTTATTGCTAAAGCTAATACATCTGCAATGCCAGGGAAAACAAGTAAGAATCAGTTACAGTTTCTAAATTAAAGTATAAATAATGACTTTTTTAACTTAAGCTTTTATTTTGCCAAATGAAATATACTGGATTTTAGAAAATTCCAGTAGGCATTGTTGGTTTTGCTTTCTTTATTGTTTTTTTTCTTTTTTTAAAGTTTTTAATAAGAAAAAGAATATTGAGGTTTAGGAGTGTCAGTGTAAAATAATGGTTAAAAATGGCAACTCTGATCCAAACTGCCTGAATTTAAATCCTAGTACCCAGACTTATTAGCAGTTTGCCAAGACTTGCCTTCATAATCCTGAAGTGACTGGACAGCTTCTAAAAGGTCTGAAACTATTAAGAATTTGTGTATGCTTTTTCCCTGTTTGAAAGTAGATTCCCTAAGGAAAGTTTAAGCATCCCCTAGATTTTATCCTCTTGGCTAATTGGTTAGAAGTGATCCCAACCTTCTTGCTTGTTTTTAGGTTAAATAATTCTTAGCATTTCATTTTGTTTGTGTGTGTGTGTTTTAGTTCTGGAGAATTCCGTGAAACATTCCAAAACCTTGAATACTCTTTCAAGTCCTGGTCAATCCAATTTTAGTCATGGCACTAGGAATAATTCTGCAAAAGAAAACATGGAAAAGGAAAAGCCAGTCAAACGTAAAATGAAATCATCTGTGCTCTCAAAGACATCTACTATTTCAAAGTCATCAGCTGTCATTGAGCAAGGTAAGGTGTTATTTGTATCTTCCAGGGTACAGTAGATCTTCCTTAAAATTGATGCTTTTGTTGGAGTTAGCATTTATATCCACTTTTTAGGTTGCTCATTTAAAAGTCACATTCTATATTAGTTGATAAATTTAGTGAGACACCCTTGGATTTGCAGCTTGTGCCAAAAGCATGTTGTATTGTCATTAAACTTAAAAAGCCAAGAAAAACTTGCTATATGGAAATAAAAAATTTTAGAATCAAAGGCTTTTAATGATGTAAATTAAATAGTTTCTAACTTCATTATTACAAAACCTTAAAAAGTATATCCAAGAAGTTTAAATTGGATTTATTTAACCCAATGTAGCAGTCTTCACTTTCTTAGGAAAATTGTTTGTATTACATCACAAAATGCAACACACTGACCTTTACTAAATAAAGGTTGTCTACAGACAGACCTCTATTCTAAAATACAACTTTTGACCCTTTTACAGTTATGCTTCTAGGTTCTTTTGTCTGCTCATTTTCGTTGTAAAGGTTTATGTTTGCAAGATGGAGACAGTAACTGATAGGATATACCCTATGACATGTCAAAACAATTACGGCTTCTTGGTAGCAGACAGCTCAAGAATAAGCATTTTGTGTCATGACTTCCAGTATGTGTCTAAAACATTTCCTCTTCAATGTTCTCCCCAGAAACGTCACAAAATTTAATTTTTCTACTGAAACGTCCTCATTGTGATTAATGGCATTGGCGTCTATCTACCTACTTAAGCTTAAAATCAGGGAATCATCCTCACTTGCTCTTCAGTATCCAAATCTACTTGACAATCTTTGGTTTCTATTTGTTTCTGCCTCCTTCACACCTTTAAGAACCATTTCTTCCTTGCCATTCTCACTTCCATGACCTTAACTCAGGCCTCCATAAGTTCTCACCTGGACTGTTGTCCTGGTTTCCTAACTGGTCTCCCTGCCTCACTTTTCAATTCTTGCTTACCCAGTCCATCTTCTAGATTGCAGCCAAAGAGATCTTTCTGATCATTTCTAGCATTTGTGCGTGCGTGCGCACGCACACACACACACACACACAATTAAAATCCTTCCCTGCCTTCAAATATACGTGGAATCGGATTTTAATGTTTTGCCTTGTTATATAAGACTCTTCATTACTTGGCTGTTGCCTAACATTCCAGCTTTCCTTACTTTCTTTCTCCCTTTTATGTCCCAGCCATACTAAACCATGTGGAAGTCCCTGAATATTGTTGTCCTCTTCTTCCTTCTTTGGAATGTTTTTTTTCTCCCAGTTTAGTTTCCTTTTATCTTTCAAGCCTCACTTTGAAATGTCATCTTCTCCAGGAAACCTTCTCCTGGGTTATTTAGACAGACTCAAGCATTTCTTTATGTTCCCAGAACACCCTATTCATTGCCTTTTGTGGCACTTATAATGTTGATAGAATTATAATGTTGATAGAATTAGTCTTTTTTTACATGTCTTTCTCTGGTAGATTCTGAACTCTCATGTTTAATTACTCATTTTTTAATCACCTATACTTAGTATATAGTGGACAATAAGTGTTTGAATAAATAAGCAAATGACTTTGTATATGAATGTTTTACATTTTTATATTTGCTTCCTTTCTGAACTGAAATCAAAGTTTTGAATAGTATATTGGCCTTGCTTCTGCCACTCCTAAATCCTAGAGAAATCAAATGTACATAGTTAGTTGGTTCTAGCATTATGATAGGGGGAGGTCCAATAGCCAGTATGATTAATAATTTTTGAGTATTACAAATACACAAGGGTATCAGTACAGTAGAGAAATACAATTAGCTGTTAAATAACTAATTAATGATGACTTATTACATAAATATTGACACCTGAATTAATTATTGGAATCAAGAACAGTGCTGTCCAGTAGAAATATAATACAAGCTACATATGTAATTTTAAATTTTCTAGTAACAGTGAACAGGTGAAATTATCAATTTTAATAACATTTTATTTACTCCATTATATCCAAAATATTGTCATTTCAACATGTAATCAATATTTCAAAATGTACACTGCTTCAGTATTCAAATTTAATTAGAAATTCAGTTCTTCAGTTGCGTAGCTACATTTCAAGTGCTCTGTAGCCACGTGGTTAGTAGCTACCTTATTGGACAGCAGAGGGTTCAGATCAGTGATTTTTCAACCTTTTTTTAATTTAATTAAGAGAGCTACATTAGTTCTTAACCATTTTAGGTTATATATTGCTTTGTCAAGTTGATGAAATCTGCAGTCCTTTGCCCAGAAAATGCATAAAGGCATATCCACACAAAATTTGGACCATTTCAAGGAGTTCCTGGAGTCCTTCTGTAGAACATTTATAGTGGGTACACGGACTGGATATTTAGACCTTTGTCAGTAGTCTTAATGTAAAACAAAAAGATACACAGACTCCTCAGGCAGGTTAAGTGTAATTGTTTGTTAGAAAAAACTTGACTACTACTACTACCACCACCACCACCACCACCACCACACACACACACCCCCACCCACACACACACCCCCCCCCACACACACACACACCCCTCCCCTGCCCACCCTCCCCTCATCCTTAGGGAAAACCACTAATCTAAAGAAAGTCACTGTACTGTGGGATTTGCCTTCTCCCTCTGCTACTGGCCCTGACCTTTTGTGAATCTCTTGATGGTTTTTTCTTGATATTTACGAAGTAAAACTCAAACCCATAACAAAAAATACCATTATGAAGAAGCATTCTCTTCAAAAGCAGTTTCCATATCTTTATGGATTTCCTTTAGAATATTGCATTGCAGATCACCCACCACAAGCAAATAAAACTTCAGATTTTTGGAAGAACAAAAGCTAGTGGTAGTACATGTATGTCATCTTTTTCCTTCATCAAAAAGGCTAATAGCGTTTTTTTTTTAACCACGGAAGGGCAGTTCATCATGATCTCCAGATCCTACAGATTTAGAATTTGATCTATAGACTTTTCTTTTATTTTTTTTATAAAGTATAATGGCCCTTATCATGATGTTTGTTACAGTCGGATTTTAATCATGGTACTGGTGGCACACACAGTGAATTTGACTGATAAATGCAATCAGTATTGCTTATGATTATAAATTAGTCATTTGCCATTCGATTACATAAGGAGATAGGACTGTTTCAAAAAGAGCCTGTGAAGAAAACTGCCAGTTAGTTGTTTTTTTAATCCTCTTTAAACAATTCTAGAATATAATCCGTGACCAAGAGTAACTTATTTCTACTCTTGTACATAGGATAGATGAAGAATGTCAAAGCCATGGTAATTTTTCTCTAGAATGTAACTGAGGTAAATTATGTCAGTAGACGTACTCCTAAACCTCTTGCATAGTAGTATTAGGAGAGGAGATCCTTTTTACTTCTGAGGAATGTAAGGAAATATTTAAATATAAACTCTTCTCTGATATTATGATCATCACATCCAAAGGGGGATCAAATAAGAGTTAGAATCATTCCAGTCTTGATAGTTACTTTTTCTTCCATCCCTAGTAGAAAAAGTGATTAGAGGAAAGGAAAGGGGGATGATAATGCTTGCTTATTTATTCAGGTTACCAAGTTAAAAGGTCGTGGATTTTATACAAAGATTATTTTCCATAATTGAGCTTCTTGAAGGTAGAATACAGAAAAACCCTGTGTTTAATGAGGTAAATAAAGTGCTTTGTGGTTATTAAGCTCCATATAAGTAAACAGGGTCATTTGTGTAATGAAAACAGCGCTCATGCATTAGAATGTGTAGTGAAGGTAGTAGGAGTAAGAAACCTTCGCTAATCCCAGTTCTATCATAATTTTCAGTATTAACGTAGATGAGTTATTTATTTGCTCTGAGTTTCATTTCCCTCATGTGAAGTCATTAATGACTTCAATAAGGATCTTTCCTCCTCTGTGAGTTTTAAGTAGAAAATAAATAATAGTATTAAACTATTAGCTTTCTGTTCTTTTTCTCCCTTTAGTAAAAAAAAAAAAAAATTAGGATTATGTTATTATATGTATATAAGTATAGCAATGGCCTACAACTAGTTTGAGGGTCAAATAAAAAAGCAATTCCATATATTAAGTGTGCTGTTGTTCCCTTTTAGCAGATTGTAAGAACAGTGCTCTTGTACCAGGAAGCATTCAAGTAAATGGCCATGGAGGGCAGCCGTCGAAACTTGTGAAGAGGGGACCTGGAAGGAAACCTAAGGTAGAAGTTAATACCAATAGTGGTGAAGTTATACACAAAAAAAGGGGTAGAAAGCCCAAAAAGCTACAGCACACAAAGCCAGAAAATTCAGAGCAAAATAACGTGCATCCCATCAGAGATGAAGTAGTTCCTTCTTCAACATGCAATTTTCTTTCTGAAGCTAATATTGTAAAGGAGGATTTGTTACAGAAAAAGAGTCGTGGAGGCAGAAAACCCAAAAGGAAGATGAAGACACAAAAACTAGACTCAGATCTCATAGTTACAAATGTTAAAATGCTAAGGAGAAGTAACCGAAAAAAGACAGATGATCCTATGGATGAGGAAGAAGAGTTTGAGGAACTTAAAGCCTCTGAACCCCACATGAGAACTCGAAACCAAGGTCGAAGGACAGCTTTCTATAATGAGGATGACTCTGAAGAGGAGCAAAGGCAGCTGCTGTTCGAAGACACCTCTTTGACTTTTGGAACTTCTAGTAGAGGACGAGTCCGAAAGTTGACTGAAAAAGCAAAAGCTAATTTAATTGGTTGGTAACTTGTACCAAAATATTTTACTTCAAAATCATAAAGCAGGTACAGTTAAGGAATATGTAGAACTAAGGCTTCTGCTTCCTTGCTGCTATGATGGATTAGGGAATGTTATGATTTGATTTGCAAAAAAACCAACAAATTTCCAAGACACTTCACTTCTTTAAATGAATATATATATATAAATATATACATATATATTTTAAATGTTTGCTATTTATTGCCCTTAGATAGGTTATGTATTTCAACATTCATTTCATTCACTGTTCAAAACAAAAGAAATTGAGGACCTATAATGAATTCCCAGTTTATTTCTGGAAAAGACAGTTCTGCTACACTCTTAAGGAGCATAATATTCCTAGTGATAAAGCATTTCATGTTAAAATGAATTATTTTTGACCAAGCCAGGTACATTTCTATCATACAGAAGTCGTGCCCCTAGGAAGACAGATGTTATCAGAGTAGCAGTAAGTTAAGAAGTGTTTTCTCTAAAGATAAATATAAAATTCCCACCATTTGATACCCTAAAAAGTTTAATTTTAAATTGTAGAATGTTCATCTACAAAGAATCTAGAGGAGGCTTTTGCTGTATTCCATTTCTGCCAAACGTAAGAGAAAATGTACTGATGAAAAGGAAACATATCCACATTGGAAAACATTTGACTGTCTAATTTTTCAGACCTTGATTCTTATATCAATCACTCAATCTCTGTTTATTGTGCCAAAGACTGAGAATCAGTGCAGTGGAAAGCCTGTTTTTGACTGTCAAGACAGCATACACTTTTCAATATTGGAAAGGCTGTATATTATTCTAAAGAGCAAGTTATTAAAGAGTTATGCTGAGATGTATCTTTTTTTGGTACTAATAGTAGAAAATAATGCACTGGTGGGTCCTTTGACAGAGATGTTTTAGAGAAAATGTTTAAGTGGTTAAAGGATTCAAGGAAAATACAGGAAAAAGGTATGGGATTTGATGTTTACTTGTTGATCTGGATTAATGTCATTTCTAAAGTTTAGACATATCTAATAGGCTAAAATGACTTACAAAGAAATGTGTCTGTGTGTGTATGTGTATATATTGCTAAATGGGTATAATTAAATATATATACAAACACATACTTATATACTATTACCCAGGTATAAATTCTTTTTTCAGGATTTTTTAGATAGTGGTAGAATAAAAATAATTTTAAAATGTCATACTTTATAGTTTAATTTTAAGGGGAAGATTGGTTATTTTCAATTATTAAAGGTTAAAATAGGCCAAATCACTTTTTATGCAATCATGTTTTATACAGTGGTCTCATTGCACATTGTGTTTTTTCTGCACTTTTTACGGTATCCTTATCACGCTGGTATGTCAATATACACCCTGAAGAAAAATTCCATTTAATGATTGTGCCTTGTATTCTCTTATTTTTTGCATCATTAGTAAAATTAAGTTGTCTATTGTAAATGATAACTATATGACTTAGGAGAATGTATTGCTATATGTACTGCTATGGGAAAGGAAAGCAGTTATTTATTTGTTTATGGTACAGTTAGTTATTTTATACCTTAAAAACCAACAAATACCATTTCTATTGTTTAAAAATTATTGTCCATTTTTTTAAAAGTTTAAAGAATGTAGTATTTTCTGAGGACTGGTATGGTACAAAAATGTAACCAAAATTTTCAGATACTACATTTTTAAAAAGTGAGGATGGCAAAATATGTATCAGCATGACCCTGATGTAGAAAATAAAGTCTTTAATTGAACCTTGGCAAATACAATACATAATTATGTCTTTACTCATTTCTGGTAGGGATAAATGTTAGCTGTCATTTAATTGTCTTGAAGAAGAGTGGAAAGTGATGCATTTGGGCTTTTTAGATCGTTTGTAACTAAATTTGTACAGAACTCCTCCTGTGAAATTAAGTAAACCATTTTCCAGATCTTAACTGGATTGCTGTGATTTTGCAGTTGAAAAATAATTTCCAATTTTTCAGGTTTTTTGTATATTTATTTTTTTCTAACAGATATATTTAACTATATAATTAAAATTCAGTAGTTAAACTCTTCATAATGCAGAAATGGATGGCTTGGTTGTGTAGTAAAATGAGTCTTTCAGTTACACCATTATTGAAAATAATAGTGTCTATGTTTGAAATTTAAGTCATTAAAGTAATTTGTTGCTTTTGAAGGCAATCTATTTGAAACGTAATTTCCTGATGTTATCTGCATTGTGTTGGGAAAAAAAGACTATAAATCCATTTTTATAAAAAATGTGTACAGTTTTAAGGTGTATACAGAAAAAGGAAGAGCGTACAGTCTTAGAGTGGAATGTGCCTCTACGATGTACCAGTTAGTTCTAACTCTTGAGCAAAGAAATGAGTATTTATCATCTTACCAGCAACAAGTAAACGTATTACTCCTGTTGTAAAGACACTGTATATTTATGACCTTATTTGGACATTATTAGACACTGGTTTCTTAGTAAAGCAAAATGACTTGGATCAGATTCTTTGTAATTGAAACACTTAAAAATATATTAGTAATACCAGATATATTTAGATTTTATAGTTTTATAATTTAGCTTCTATACATTGGAAAATTTGAATTGAGAAATTTAAGTCATCACCATATTTTGGTTCCGTTTGACCACTTGGAAAAATTGTCCTCTTGGAGACAGTGACACCATGTATGTACTGTTTATAGGCCAAACGGAAATGCTGGCAGTTGTCTTAGGTGAGCAATAAAAAATCTCAAGTTTACTGAAAGTTTCAGAAATATAACTTGTTACATGCATGGAAAATGTAAATTTATGTATTTTTAAGTACATGACTCTAATATTCTCTCCCTCCACCCTAACATTTTCAAGTCCCAATCCAATCTTATAAAATCATAAAATGTTGGAAATAAGTAGTTAAAACATCCAATCTAATTACAGTCTCACAACGCTGGGCAATGGATATATACCTTCTTAAAATTTTATCCTTTGCAACCTGCTATTATGGCATTGGATTATTTTCTACATATATTTATGTACTAAGGATTCATTGGTCTTGTTTCCATTGTCTTTATTATTGCACAGCTTCACTACAAATTTGAAGACTTATTTGATAGCATTATTACAAAACTATCTTCCTCCTTAAATTTAATTAGAATAACTGTATAGAATATTTGTGAGCTTGATTAGGTCACATCTGAGGTGTGAGTTTGGCCGAATTTAGCATCACTTGGAAATTAATTACATAAGATAAACACTGATCAGCAAATAGATCCTCGCACAGCATGTATGTTAACATCTAGAACTGTCCCTTATCTGCAGTGCAGTAGATTAACAAATATATTCAAACATTGTTAGTTATGTCATATTAGCAACATTTACATGTTTTAAAATATGATTTGTAATATAAATTAGTTCTTCCAGTTAATAGCATTTACTTTAATTCTAGCATTCCGTTTTATACATACAAACATAACCTGTGTATCTCTCTCCAATGTCAACTGGAAGCAGTTTTGATTTTCAGTTTTCTATCTGATGAAAACACATTGTTATTCTGAATGTTTTTCTTCACCTGAAATTTATTTTTGAGTAGGTTGAAAGGACCAAGATACTTGAGTGTTTAAAGGGCTTACAAGTATTCTTCCTATATGCAGGAAATACATAATTTTAAAAGTCATAACAGGGGAAGTACTTTTATGTTCTGTGAATTACTCCCTTACTTAAAAAGTATATTTTACATAACAGGTTGAGACATGGTTTAGTTATATTTAGGTGAGAACTTATTTTCCTATTAAAATTGGAAAAATATACATTTTCCTTCCCTCCTTGAACTTCCCCTCAGTTCCCCAAATTTCCAAGTGATTTAAACTAAATTAATATTACGTTTACTAAGAAACTGTTTTTGTTCTTAATTATACTGAGCTAAGCACTCCAAATGAAAAGTCATTTTGTACTATATAGTACCCAAGAGGTCACACTGAGTTAGAAGACTGTAGGTACCACTTTTGACGCTCCAGAGATAAACTTCGTACACTCTGCAGTAAAACAATTAGAAAATATTATGAGCTATAAAGATATATTATTTTTTGTTTTGATAGCTCTGTGTCAAAATACTTTTTTAATGCAGATAAAATCATCAGGAAATTAACCTTTTACGGCACAAACCAAATACATGGTAGTGGGTGGCTATGAGTTTCTACATTTAAGGAGCTGAGTGAGTAGGTTTGAGATGATAGTACACACGCGTAGGATGCAGGTGCACACGTGCTCCTTCTAAGATTGTGCGTGTTGATTAATCACAGTGATAAACTATAAATTGAGACAAAAGAAAGTTACATTTTTGGACCATATTAAAACTGCAAGAAGGTGAGGTCTTATTAAAGATCTTTTAGAAAACTGTTAAATCCTGTCACAATGTTTAGACATGTAGAATGTAGCTCAATTTTTAAAAAGTAACTGACCTAGAGGGTTAAAGTTGAAACTGACACATTTTCAAATTAAAATTATGCTTATTTTGTACAGAAAGCGATGTTAAACACAAGCAAATGTGTTGTATGTAATAAGTAACACAGAGTTTAAAGACAAATTAATTATTTAGCTTTATTGAGGTTTTTGTTTGTTTTCCTTTCGGAAGCCTGGAGTATCATGTTATAAGCGAAGTCTCACGCCAGAATAGCAGCGCCCTTTCTTTTTGTACATATTGACTGGACCTTTCTTTACTGTTACGTGAACACTTTCTATGTTAGTTTTGATGCATAATTCTTTGAATCCTTTTATACAAACTAGAATGTATGTGTAAGAATTCCTGTCCCTGCAATGTAGTAACTACAAACTTATTTTTAAATAAATAGAAAACTTGTTTTTCTAAGCTATTTTGTGGAGCCTCGTGATTTATTATTTGTCTCTTTTTTTTTGGCACCACATGAAGCACTCAGTACATAATTTCAACAGGCAGTATACCAAAGAATTTGTTATGTAAATGCTGGCACATTAAGAGTTTCCAATGCCCTGTCTGTTTAGCAAAATATTAAGATAACTAGCCAATTAAAGACTGTGGGTACCCTAATGTCATTTAATTCCAAAATAACTGAAGGTTAAAAATAAGTCATTTGCCTTTTTTTTTTTTTTTTTTAAAGATTTTATTTATTTTCCCCCAAAGCCCCAGTAGATAGTTGTATGTCATAGCTGCACATCCTTCCAGTTGCTGTATGTGGGACGCGGCCTCAGCATGGCCGGAGAAGCAGTGCGTCGGTGCGCGCCCAGGATCCGAACCCGGGCTGCTAGCAATGGAGAGCGCGCACTTAACCGCTAAGCCATGGGGCCGGCCCAAGTCATTTGCCTTTTAATGTATACACTTAAAAAAATTGATTTGTTATTATGTATAAGTTACTGTACTGGGTAATAAATACTTCAGTATTTAGATATTTCTGTAAGATATATTTCAAAGGAATAGTTTGCACAAGTATTTTCTCAAAAATGTGAAGTGAAATTTCTGGGGAAAAAATCAAATGGAGGAATGAGGAAAAAGTTTCACTTGTTAAGCAGTTATCCAAAATGAGATAAAGCTGTTGCTGTTTTCCTAGAAATTTGTTCAGATTGGCATACATTTTTATTGACTTACTGAGAAGCCCAATTTTAGTATGAAGAATACATAAGGCTATAATAAATGACAATTCAGGTTAAGCACATGAGGGGGTGATTTGTGATTTTGTGCTATTAATGATCACTTCCCCATAAGAAATTTTGCTTAAATGGCTTTGTATAAAATCAATTTCTAAGTTGAGGAAAGCAGGTAAACATTCTTGAGTATCTTTTCTTTTTCTCTCTAAAGTATGCTGATACTAATACCTAGTATACTTAGAAGAACCAGCCAAGAAAAATTAATTTTCAGCAACCACTTTCTACCGGTTTCTCTTTTGTAGTAACATCAACTTTATGTTCTAGGCTAATTTTCCCCATTATTTAAGAAAGAACAGTAAGATTAAAAAAGCACAAAACTTATGTTCCTTGCAATATAATACCTTGTATTTGTAATCTTTTCACACTTAACACGTTTACCATATATCGATTACTCTTTGTTTTTGTTTGGGAAAAGAATAGTGGGAAGGAGTCAGTGAAGTATCTTTCTGCCTAATAAGCTAGACAGGTTGGCAGCACGGTATAATGGAATGAACCAGACATGGAGTTGAGTAATTTCATCTCTTGGAGCTTCACTTTCCTCATCTGTAAAGTAAAACAATTGATTAGATATTCTGCAAGGTCTAATGCAGTTCAAATAGCCTATGAGTATTTCTCATGTGTATATTGTCCTGTAAACTCATGGCTCAATCTTGGCTTTTCTATTTAGTCTCTAAATAAAATATGCCATTTAATGTATAGCTTTCAAGCAAACTGTGTCTGTGGCCATGACCTGATTGTAATAAGTGTGAGATATAATGAGGAGTTTTGACTGTTGGTTGCAACACACTATAAATTGTGAGTTGAGTTGAAATATTTGTTTAGTATTAATAAAAAGTACTCAAGTTTGTGATTTTCCAGGGCCCTCTGGGAAATCTCAAAGATAGTTTCCTTGTAAAACACATCCTGAAATTTTTATTTTAGGATCCAGTCTTGGGAAAGCAAAATCAAAAGTTTTCAGAGGCGATTTAATCACTTGACAAGATAGGATCACTGGTGCCTGAGAATAATAATTGGTTTCTCGTTTAATAAAAATGAAATAAAATATTTAAAAATAAATATAGAAGGCAGAACAATTTTAAGGAAACATCTTTCACAACTGAGAAACTTTTGTTCTTTGTTTTGGTCTTTTAATAAGGACATTATAGAGACAGAACAAAAATGAAATACAGAAAAATCTATCTGAACATTATACAGAAGTTAAAGTGCACCTTAGTCTTCTTTCGAGCTCTTTAAGAACGATTTTTTATTTTAACAGAGAAAACCAAATTCTAGTTTGGTATTGACATCATACGGAGCAGGAAAGGTTTCTTAAGCTCTTCCTTCCCCCTCCTCGTGAATAGGTTCATCAAAGCTGGGGTAATTACGCCAAATTTTTAACACACTTTATAGTTTCTTTTCAGTTTCTTATTCCCTCTTCTGATAGATACTCAAGTTTTTCATGTTTTGGAACAAATATACACTTCAGGACAAACTTGGTCCTTGAAAAACAAACTCATTCCGTTATTCTGACACTTAATTGTATTTCTCTGTCACTACTTAGCCTTCATCTCAGCTGCCTATATTAATTACGAATTTTAACCAAAGTAACTAACTTCTATTTCACAGAGAAAACTGAAAGGAAAGTAACTGAAAACTGTCATATGCAAGCATTTTTGCAGAATAGCAAAGCTCATGAATACACATAACACAATTTTGAAACCTTAATGTTGCAAAAATGAACATGTTCATTAAATACATGACCCAAAGATAGCCACTCCATAGTATACAAATAAAGAAGAAAAGGTAAATAAAATTATGCCTAGTGAGCAATATTTCAGTATTGAATCTTACAATTAAATACGTATATAATGATTATCCATTAACTCAATTTAATATTAGTCCAAATTTTAAGCTACCTGAGGATCTTGGAAGTCATGTTCAAGCTGACATACTATAAAATGTGATTACTGTTATAAAAACATTTGTCAGAATTGTTCAAT